TCATTCCCATTTTAGAAGCTCCAGGCCTCCAGGCTATGTGGAGAGGTGGTCATCTTGTTCTCAGCAGTGCAAACATCCTGCTTCCCGGCTTCTCCAAAGACCAGTTACCTTTCTTGTGACATTTCTTGAACCCTTGCATTGGGCCGGCCCCTTCCTATCAGCTTTGGACTATGCTGTGTTTCTGAGACCCACAACCAAACCGCCCTCATCTCTGGCCCCGTCCATCCCTTTAGAGTGACTGATATGACTGACCTCTAATTGGACACCTTCCCTTCATCAGGGAAATAAATCTGCCTCCCACTTTCCTTTCCGGTCTAATTTCAGATCACTCCCCTTCATGCTGGTTTGGGCTGGTTGAACTAGATTTTTAGTTATTCCTGACTTGGCACCCCAGTTGTGTGTCTCCACCCCCACCCCATTTTTCCTTCTCTCCTCTGCCTTACATTCCCTAAAACAATGTAATAATTCCCTAAGAATCCCTCAATTCCTTCCAAGCACTCCTGGGGCTCCACCTGCTGGGTGAGGACTTTCTCACTCCTCTCAGGTCATAGCACTAGGTTCCCCTTGAAGTAGCTTTGTATTACTCTGTATACGTTCTTTATTCACTTGCCTATATAAATCTTGTATCTTGCCAGGAGAATGTATGTTCCTTAAGGGCAAGGACAGTTTCCTTTTTGTCTTTTTTCTCCAAATCATGGCTCAGTGACTTGTACATTTCAGTTGGGTCCAACTCTCTGTGACTCCATTTGGGGTTTTGTTGGCAAAGATATTGGAGTGGCTTGCCAATTCCTTCTACAGCTCATTTTACAGATGAGGAAACTGAGGCAAATATGGTTAAGTGACTTGCCCAGGGCCATAGAGCTGGTAAGTGTCTGAGGTCACATTTGAATTCAGATCTTCCTGACAGGCCCAGCATTCTATCCACTGTGCCACCTAGCTTCCCATTGTACATTGTAGATACTTAATTTTTAAAAATTGAACACTGGATAATTTACTAATTCGTGGCCTACCTTGCAGACTTGTCCTTAGGTGAGCAAACAAGCTAAGTAGTGACCTTAGAAAAAATGGAAGCTTTGGGGAATCAGATCGTGGCCAACAGGCACTTTGGTTCCATGTTCGTGGCCTAATCTAGTAGCAATGACCTGGCTCCAAATGTTGACTCTGGCCATCAGTTTCTCTGCTTTTATTGAGTCTCTTGGATCTTGGCATGCCGGGGGGTCAGCCCCAACCTGGCCTGTTTTGTTATTTGATGTTAGCTCTTCTCCTAAGACAAACACTACCCTAGAGGGCCCTTTCCCTCTCCTGGGGCTGTTCCTAATCACTGGCATGTCTCCCTCCTTTTCTCCACCCCCTCCGCCATGATTCAGAACACATGTGGATTCTCTATAGCATCATACAGCAACAGACACCTGGGGTTCCCACCGCCCTCCCCACCCCCACACCATATCTGTCTCCTGAATGTCCAGAGCCCCAAATACCACCTGGTTCCATACTTCAGCAATACTTACTCTGTGTTTCACAGAAGAGATATTCCAAGCAGAGAGGGCCAAAGGGACCATTCAGTCCTCTGCCCAACATCTGGTTTTAAGATTTGCAGGAGCCACATAAAGAGGTGAAAAAACCCCCAAACCCAGACATTCTTTCCAAGGAGGGGAGGACATATATAACTAACTCCTTAGGGGGTCAGATAGGCTGGGAATAGAATAGGGTCAGCAAGAGTTTGGAGAAATTGCTGGAGGCCAGATCCCTCATGAGTCATAAAGGGGGTGGTCTGGTCTCCGGTGTAATGGAAAGAGTGCTAGACTTATAGCCAGAAGAGCTGGATTCAAATTCCACCTCAGATACTCCCTAGCTGTGTGACCCCAGGCAAGTGACTTAGCCTCGCCATGCCTCAGTTTCCTTCTCTGCAAGAATAATGATAATACTTTCACTATCTCTCTGCCATGGTGGTTGTGATTCCTCCAGAGCTCAGTCTAGCTCACATTTTACTTACCTTTCCTAGTCCCCTGGCAGGCCTCTTCCCCACATCACCTGTATTAATTTTCTTTCTACATATGTCCATGTCGTCTCCCCTGAGAGAGTAGGGGCTTTTGAGGGAGGGACTATTTCATTTTTGCCTTATATCTCCAGTGCTTTGCAGCTAGGTGGAAGCAGCTGGGCACCCTGAGGGAGAGACAGGAAGCAGCATGTGAAGGCAAGTCAAACTCCCACCACTTTGACCACCATCTCTCCTCAGACCCTGAACCAAATGCTTTGGGATTAGCGTTAATCCTAGTCCAGTGACCACAGCCATCATCCTGGGAAGCAACCCTGGTAGAGATGCAGCCTGGCACCTGCTCCCATGGGTGCTACAGCCACAGCTACTGAGCACCCAGAAAGGAAAGTTCTTGCACTATCATACTTGGCACGGACAAATGGTTCAACAGCAGAAACTAGGATATTTAAGAAACATTAACATCTGTTTTCCTCTTGCACCCTAAGGACCACGAGACCTTTCTCTCTGACTGGCAGCGGAAAGCTTCCACATGTGGTGACTCCCCCGATAGAATACGAGCCCCTGGAGAGCAGGGACTGGAGACTTAGAAAAGTCTAGTGCTTTGCACAAATTAAATGCTTAATAAACACTTATTCATTCATTTTGTCACTTACAGTGCCCAGCATATCATTAGGCATTTAATAAATTCTTCCTGATTGGTTGAATAATGTTATGCAAATATTTTTGTGTTACTAAGTTATATGTTATATAAGTTATATGTTACTAAGGTGAGTAATTGGGAGTCCACTCCTGATTTGTGAGAATAGTGTTGGGACCTCCTAGATTGCCTCTGGAGTCCTTTGCATGTCTCTCCCCTCTCTCTCTCTCTCTCTCTCTCTCTCCCCCTATGGTATTCATGGATGACCATAACTTCTTTCTGTCACTTAAGGTCCATGTGAAAGTGAGACCTTGGCAAGGACCTAGTGCTGAGGGGCTTAAATTTTAATTTATCCACTACCAACTTTTTTTAAAACTTGGAGAAGGACCTAAAGACCGCTGAGTTCAGTCCCATCATTTTACATGAAACAGGTCCAGAGAAATTAAGTGACTTGCCCATAGTTATACAGATATGATTACTACTTGGGGTAGCTAGGTGGTACAGTGGATGGAGTACTAGACCTGGAGTAAGGAGGACCTGAGTTCAAATCTTGCCTCAGACACTTACTATTTATGTCACCATGACAAGTCATTTAACCCTGTTTGCCTCAGTTTCCTCATCTGTAAAATGACTTGGAAAAGGAAATGGCAAACCACCCTAGTATCTTTGCCAAGAATACCCTAAAAGAAGGTCACAAAGAGTTGCACAAAACTGAAAATGTCTGAACAACAACAATTACTACCACTATTACTACTACTACCACCTAGCTAGCATTTGTATAGCACTTTAAAATTCCCAAAGCTCTTTATGAACATTATCTAATTTTATTCTCCCTGTTTTGGGAGGTAGATGTTATTATTATCCCCATTTTACACAAGAGGAAACTGAGGCAGATAGTGTTAAAGTGGTAGTTCAGGGTCACACAGCTAGTGAGTGTTTGAGGCAGGATTTGATTTTAGGTCTTCTTGACTCCAGGTCCAACGACTGATCCATTGTGATGCATTCCAAGGTCTCTTTCTTTAATGTCAAGAAAATCTTGACAGTTTCTTCATCTGTAAAGTGCTAGGTAACCCTCAATGTCCCCTCCAGTTGTAAGGCTGTGATCTGATCATTCCTATGACCCTCCTTTGGTTTAGTCAAATGAATTAACATAGGCAAAGCATTTTGGATACCTTTAAAGTGCTCTGTAAATAAATATAATAATGGCTATCATCATCGTCGTCGTCATCGTCGCCCCCGACGCCATCATCCTTATCATCGGATTCCTCATCTTGTTCCTGTGGTCAGATTCTCACCATGTGTAATTCAGGGAGTAGCCACTAGATGGGTGTCATGGTGCTGCCTTCCAAGGAAAGCTTTTCTGGAGGCTTAAGTTGGGGAAATTTTTCTCTAGTCCCCCCAAGTAAACGACTGTACTTCCCACCTCACCCCTCATTTCAAAACCTTTCCCTTTGCTTTCCAAGGCCACAGACCATGAGCTCATCAGATGAACTATTCGTGTCTGTTCTGGTGCTAACAGGAGAAAGCTGGGAGAGATACCCTATAGCAAGTTTCACAGAGTCAAGAGCCCTGGATTCTTTTGCTTAAACCAGGGAGCCACTCTAATGTAGTGATTCCAGTCAGGAAGAAGTAAGTGTGGAAATGTGTGTAAATAAATCAGTTCTACTGTGAGGTAGCCCTGGGGTCTTGGGAGTCCCTTCCCTTCTCCTCCTCCTCCTCTGGGACTCAGTTTCTCCACCCCCAAGTGAGGTTTAGACTAGGCAATCTCTACAGTCCCTTTCAATTTAACTTTCATAGCTCTTAAAGGTCTGCAGCCATACAAAGGGAATTTTATTATGGTGATACTTGAGTTGTTTTCTAGTTTCCTCTCTCTCTCTCTCTCTCTCTCTCTCTCTCTCTCTCTCTCTGTGTTTTGCCTCCTAACTAGGCTGTGAGCTCCCCATGGGCAGTGACTGTGTCTGTTTCCCAGTCCTCCACCCACAGGATCCTCCCACAGTGCTGAGCATGACATGATTCCGAAGCACTGATGATGAAATATGCTGCCCACCTCCTGAGAGAAAGTGATGGCCTCATGATGCCAAATGAGACATGTGTTTTTGGACGTGGCTAATGGGATTTGTTTTGCCTGACTGTGTATATGTTACAAGGATTTTTTTATCTTTCTTTCACTTTTGTGGGGGAGGTAAGAAGGAGAGAAAATAAATATTTGTTAACTGAAAGAATTCAAGAATAAAAACAGAATCAGAAAATAACAAAACTCACTGAGTTCTTCCTGTACTCAGGGCATTCTCTCCAATGGACGCTACAGTCCTCAGGCCCAGCCCACAGATGGGAAGCCTGAGACCAAGATTACTAAGCACAGTGTTTTATTGATCATCAGAACAAGTTACCACAGAAGCCCCTTGGGGCACAGATTCTGACAGAGATGGCACTGAGTGGTGGCTTGGGGCTGGTAGTGGGAGGGAGGCCAGCCTCCAGGAAATTACCCCTTCCAGACTCCCGGATATGCTCAGTCCCTTGGCTTTGAGGAGAGCTCCCATCCTCCCTGGCCAAATAAACCAGGGCAGGGCAGGGAGAGCTGACTCTGCCTCAGACTGGCAGTGCCCATGATGGCACTAGGCACCTAGGGAGAGGGGCCTGACACAGGATGGGGTGGAAAGACAGATGATTCACTTCACAATGTGTCAATGGACAGCAGTTAGTAAGACCAGGCTGCTGGGAGGGGCCGTGGATCCAGGGTTCTTTCACTCTTTTCCCTATTCTCTTTCTGTATTCGCCAGGGTAGGTGATGGATCCTCCTTCCCCCATGTGAGGACTTTCCAGGCCCACCTTGCTTGTCCCAGAGTTCAGCATCTCAAAGTCTTACCTATGTCTGTCTTACTTCAACATCTGCCTTCTTCTTCCTGTTCCATACCCGGACTTTGCTGTGTAACATCATGAACTGGAAGCCTGTGACATTTTCTTAGTTTTCTCTTTTTCCAGAGGAATAATCCTAGCTCCTTGTCTTTTGTGGGATCTCATTTCTCCATCAAGAAATTTTGGCCAATTACCCACAACCCTGGGAGCCTGACTAGGTTCTGTAGCCCACCCACAACTTGCGTTCCTTTGGGGATCTGGATGCCCTCCTTCAAACCCAGGAGCCTCACAAATTGAAAATACCACACTGGTTTTGGGTTTACTTTTTCAGCCTCTGGAGCCTTCCTAACCCAGTGGAAGCCACTTGCCTGCAAACAAAGTGACCTTTCAGCCTTGTAGGAGGGGTTGGAAAATATGTCACTCCATCAATCTTAAAAGCCCTCCACTTCCCCACAGGTTGGAATGGGTTGGAAATGAGGGTAGCCTTGATTTTTTTCCCTTGACTAGAGTGGGTGCTATACAGGCCTGATTTAATATTTCAATCTTACAGGAGAGGAGTAGAGAGGATCAGAAAATACCAACCTCTCTCAAGCCAAATGCTAGTCTCCCATGCATGCAATAGGCTGGAAATTATGGTAAGCCAGCATTTTCCCCCTTAGACATTATAGGCCTGAAATTATAGGACCCTTTTAATCTTGGATGGGAGAAGTTGGATAGGTTCTGAAATTACAGTCATTTTTAAACTGCTGTTCTCCCCTTGTATACCATTAACCTTCCTTTATGGTAATTTTGGGCCACGCTGTCTGGGTTTTACATCCTCAAATTATCTTTTTTATTTCTTTTTTTTTTCTATCTCTTTGAGTTCCTTAAGAACACAGGCTTCTTACCAAGCTGTGAACAGAAACCCAAGGGCCTTTGGGACCAGGATGATTTTTCCTGCGTTGGCAACAGCAGCATAGAGATAAAAGCTTATTAGTTTGGTGAGGATACAGGAAATGAAAAGATGACAGCCAGAGATCACAGCCAGGTTGGAGGATCTCAGGTCCATTAACCTGTTTTCCTGCTTCTTTCTGCAATTTAATGTTTTGTTCATTTAACTGATGGCTGCCTCTTTATCTGGGACTCCTGGCACACCTCGAACCTACCTGTTGAACAAGGCAAGGTGAAAAGTTGTGCTTATGTCCCCAAGGAGAATTCACGGTTTTGTTTTGTTTTAAAAATGTTTAACGGTGGTATATGTCAGAGGTAGGTTTTGAACCTAACGTTTCCTGCTTCCAAGGTTGGCCCCCTAGCCCCTCTACCACACTGCCTCTCTCATAGACCTTTCTGACAAGCTAACAGCTCCTAAGGACAGCAGCAGTCAGTTAAATAAATGATTAGAATCTATTCTCTCCTCCTATAGCATGAACCAATAGCATCAGCATAAAGCCAGTCTGCACACTGCTGATCATCTCTGGCCACCAAGTGCTTGCTGGACTTTAGACAAAGAAAGCCAAGCTATTTAAGGGAGGAGGGGTTGCAGGGGTATGGCGTGCCCAGTATGCTAGGCACAGAGCAAGTCACAAAATAGAAATATTCAGACCAATAAATACATCTCAAAAAAGGAAAAGAAAAGCCACTCCATGGATGCTCCCAAACACTGGCAAGAAGCATTATAACATGCACTCAGAGATATGTACAGTGTAAACAGTAAGGACGGTGTGGTTTGGCTCCAGTGAGGAGAAACCATGGGGTAGAGGCCAGGCAGGCGGATAGGTGGTGTGTCCAGGTGGGAGTGTTGCTCAGTGGCAGGGGCCTGGCTGGGGAGGTGGGCACTTGGGGATGGAAAACTCCTATATCTCCAGAGAGCTGGTCCCTCTCCTCTTCTCTGGGTACCCTCAAGAAGCAATGGAGAGCCAGTGGGAGGCAGAGGGAAAAGAGACAGAAGGGGGAAGTTTGTAGGCAGGGAGACTACTGGGGGACAGGAGTCAGAGTTGGTGGAAGCTTACCACGAACTCCCAATGGGCAGGACACCCATTGGAAAAGGGAGCAGTTGGTGAGTAGAACTCCGAATAATGGGGGGGGGGCAGGACTGCAACTCATGGCCTTCAGCCATGGCTTCAATGATTTGAGGCCAGACCAAAAGAAGAGGACTTCTCGAAGAAGCAGGGGGACCTTTCCCTCCCCTGAGTTGGTCAGGCCCTCTCCAGGAGATCAGTGAGCACCTAGGGGTGAGTGGTCAGGGACCACAACACCCAGGAAAGGGAGTATAGGATCCTAGGAGTTCTGGTATTTTGCCAAGGGGAATCTATTCTGGACCTGTGAGTCCATTAGGCAGGGAACTTCTTGTGTGAAAACTCCCAGCACTCACATGGGAACTCATCTGCCACATGAGTCTTCAATGAGTTGGTTGCCTGGGTCACCAGGAGGTTAAGTGACTTGCCCACAGCCAGTGTGTGTCAGAGGTAGGTCTTGAACCCAGGGCTTCCTGACTCCAAGGCTGGCCCTCTAGCCATTCCACCACACTGCCTCTCTCCCAGACTCAGATATTATTAGTGTGGGAAGGGACCTTTGACTCTCCTACAGACACAAGTGGAGATCTCTGTCCAAGGGCCATAGCAAGAGGTTGGGCAGGGGGAGGGGTGGGAATGTTCAAAGGGGTGCCAGGTTGTGTCTTCCCTTAAGTATGGGGTCCAGCTTTGGGTCTGGGAAGCTTGCCCAGTGGGTCTTAAGTGAAAAGTCAGATTGGGGTGCCTCTCCTACATTAGGGCTAGAGATTGGCTCCATGTCTGGAGCGACCAAGGTCCAGGGCAGATTGAGCCAGAGCAGCCTTGTGGGAATGGCTCCTGGGGGAGGGAGGGCCCCAGGCAAGCACCCTCAAGTTGATATTCTTCAACCTGATGGACTGATTGAAGTGTCGGCATTTTCCTTCTGGCAGAGATGCTGGAAAGGTCCCCAAACCCAGAAGAAAGAACAGTGTCTGACCCGAAGCCTTGGTCCCAGCTGACCCTGAGCCCCTCCCACCGCAGCTGCCGCTGAACTCAAGGCCAGAAATGCCCTGGTGTGATCAGTGGATGCACTGGACTAAGTGGGGCCCGGGTCTGGATCTGGGGCAGCCTTGGGGTGCACCCCCTGCAGCACCCCTTTCTGCCTTGGTCCAGTTTTCTACCCACCTCTACCCTTGCCCACAGTACACACGGTCTCTTTTTGCAAAGCCCCAAGCAGACCCCGCGGCCAGGGCCCCACTGACCACGTTGGTGGGGGAGGGCTCCCTTAAATATCCGTCTCTCGGAGGCCACAGTAGTCGTCCAAGTCGTAGGCATGGTAGGCAGCCTCCTCCACTCCATCCTGGGGGACCCCGAGGCAGATGGACTCCACCTCGCTGCGGGAGGGGGTGCCCACCGACGCTCCGCCCGGGGAGCCCCCCGAAGCCCCGGCAGCCCGCAGCTTGTGCGACAGGCTGGTGACCTTGGCCCGCAGCTGCGTCGTGGGCTTCTTGAAGGGACCCAACAGCTTCCAGTCGTGGAAGGAGGCCGTGGCCTTGAGCCGCTGCCCGACGGCCCCGTCGGGCGGGCCCCCGGGCAGCAGGGAGGCGGGCCGGGGTAGTGGGGTCAGTGGGGCCGCCCCGAGAGGGGCGCAGTCCCGCTGGGAGCCTCCGGGGTCCGCCCCAGCCTCCGACGCCCGCCAGTGGTGGCCATAGACGCGCCAGAGGGGCCGTCGGCGCCGTCGGCGACACTGGCAGCGCAGCAGGCGTAGGAAGGCGCGCTTGAACTCCTTGCTGGAGCAGGGGTAGATGATGGGGTTCACGCAGCTGTTGAAATAGCCCAGCCAGAAGATGACCTTGAAGACGCCCTCCGACGGCTTCAGCTGGGGGAAGAGGGAGCCTGGAGGGAGGGAGGGAGAGAAAGACGGAGAGTGAGAGGGAGGGAGGAACGGGGGATGAGTGAGGCCGGGGCAGCTGGGGCACAGGGAGGCAGCAGGTCAGTCCTTCCATCATACCACCCCCCCCCCCGCCCCAAATCTGATAGCCGAGACACTGATGAAGGAAACTCAGTTCTCGTCCAGTAGCTGAAGGTGGAGACAGCCACTGCCTCCAGGGAGCCCCCAATCTAAGCTCGGAAGCTCCGGGTCTGATGGGAGCCATACAACCTGGGAAGCTCCTGATCTAAAAGGGGAGATGGAGTCCCTGCCTCCAGAGAGCCTCTATTCTGGTGGGGGAGAGGGTCCCTGCCTCCAGAGAGCCTCTATTCTGGTGGGGGAGAGGGTCCCTGCCTCCAGAGAGCCTATATTCTGGTGGAGGAGAGGGTACTGTCTCCAGGGAGCCTCTAACTTTGTGGGGGGGGGAAGGGAGGGTTTCTGCCCCCAGGTAGCCTCTAGTCTGATAGAGGAGGCACACTAATCCTAGATGGTTTCAGATAGGGCTGTGCTGGGCTTGAAATCAGGAGCAGAATTCAAATCCTGCCTCAGACACCTACTAGTTGTTTAATCCTGGGCCAGTCAGCTTCCTTATCTATAAATGACGGTCCCTTAGGTAGCCCCTGCCCCTGCCTTCAGGGAGCTCCCTTCTCATGGGGGAGAAAGAAAACAAGCAGATACCTCAGAAACAAACAACATACACCAGAGAGGGAAACAGGGTAGACTAATGGTGTCAGACTCAAGCAGAATTGAGGGTCACTATGCCATACATGAGGAGCCCCGTGGGCCACATGTTGACTTAGAAAACCACTGTGTGTGTGTGTGTGTGTGTGTGTGTGTGTGTGTGTGTATATATTTGCTTTTTGGTGAGGCAATCAGGGTTAAGTGACTTGCCCAAGGTCACACAGCTAGTAAATGTCAAATGTCTGAGGCTGGATTTGAACTCAGGTCCTCCTGACTCCAAGGCTGGAGCTCTATCCACTGTCCCACCTAGCTGCCCTGTATATTTCTTTTTAAAAAACAATATTTAAATGCATTAAAATCAGACAGGAACAACATTTTTATCTGGTTTGGGCAGAATGCAGACCAGCCTTGTGTTTGACACCTCTGGGGCAGACTCCCATGGAAGTACCTTGGGGATTCCCCTCACAAAATTCTCCTTCCCATTTGGAAGGGAGCTTGGTGAAGATCTGGTCCACCTCATGCCTAAGCAAGAATCCCCACCTCGATACTTTCAGCTTCCAACATCTTCCCATTTCCAACAGCACCAGTGGTCATACAGCCCTCTTGTGAAGACCTCTAATGCTGAGGAACCCACTATATCCCAAGCATCATTGTTTTTTAAGGATAACACAGGTAAAGCCCTCAGCAAACAAAGTACTGGTTCTTGCTGTTATCTTGGACAGCTCCCACTGTGAGAAAGGTTTCCAGCAGGTAGGGCTGTTCTGCAAAGACCTTCTCCCCTTCTCAGGAAGTGGTCAAGGCAAGGGCAAGGAGGGGAGCACATCTGGCAGAAAGATGCAGTCCTGGACATAGGGTCTTTCTAAGTCAGTTCAAGTGAACCACAAAGTCTTCTTTCATTTCTTGATGGCCCGATGCTTAGTATCCTTGTAGGGAAAGGGGAAGGAGTGGGAGGTGATCCTAAGATCATTGATCTTAAGGAGCTGGAAGGGATCTTTTTCCATGTAGTCCAACCCCTTCATTTTACAGATGAGGAAACTGAGATCTAGAAAGGTTCAGTGACTTTGTATTACATAGCCACTTAGTGTCGGAGGCAGGATTTGAAATCGGGTCTTCCTAATTCTGAATCCGGTGCTCAGTCCACTGAGTCACCTTGTAAAGCACAATGCTTGCTTGGCACATGGTAAGCATCTTACTGACTGACAATAAGGAAGAAGGACCTCTGGGAGCCCTGGTGAACTGTGGCCCTTCCATTAACTATGGCCACTTTCTGCCTATCCACACTATTCAGCAGGGTGGAAGGTCCTGAAGGGAAGATGGGTCAATATTGATGAAATGGAAGGGGCACAAGAAGCCTGAAGAGCTGGGACAAAAAGGCAGAAGATACCTGGGGCCTGAGACTTCTTACCACCTCTCTTTCATCATTTTTTTCTCCTACAAACTCCCATCTAGCTCCATCTGATATTTACTTTTGAAGGTGATTTTTTGAACCTAAGTGTAAGACTTTATGCCTATTGGGTTTCATCTAATGAAAGATGATGATCTAGCCTTCCATAATCTTTTTCTCTTTTTTTTGTGTGAGGCAATTGAGGTTAAGTGACTTGCCCAGGGTCATACAGCTAGTGAGTGTTATGTGTCTGGAATTTGAACTCAGGTTACTCCTGACTCCAGGGCCAGTGCTCTATCCACTGTGCCACCTAGCTGCCCCTTAAAGATAGTCCCTGCTCTCTTTTTTGTGTGTGTGAGGCAATCCAGGTTAAGTGGCTTGCCCAGGGTCACACAGCTAGTAAGTGTCAAGTGTCTGAGGCCAGATTTGAACTCAGATCCTCCTGACTCCAGGGTTAGGGCTCTATCCTCTGCACCACCTAGCTGCCCCTCATAATCTTTTTGAGTCCTGACTTGTCATTCAGGATATTAAATAACCTTTCCAGCTTCATGTCACCTACAGCTCTGATGAATTTGCCATCTAGGTCTTTGTTCAAGTCATTAGAAGCAAATCTTTGCCAGCAGAGATCTCTGATGTACCTCACTGCAGACCTTCTTCCAAGCTGACTGACCCTTCATGACCAACCACCTGTCCAGCTCCAAATCCAATCTCCATATTGTCTAGCTCACATTCCCTTTTCCCTTGAGAACACATTAAGAGACTTTATCTTATAAACACTTTGATAAAATCTGGGTCTGCATCCTGGGCCATCTCCAGCCGTCCTGATCTATATCTGGCCATTGGACACAGATGGCTCTGGAGGAGAAAGTGAGGCTGGTGACTTTGCATAGCCCTCCCTCCCTCAAATCCAATTCACTTGCAAGTGATGGCAACATCTTCCTGATGTCAATATTCTCTTCAAGAATGAAGGACAAACCACACAACCACAGCCACAAAATCTGGGTAAACTCTGCCTATGGTATCCATTTGGCCTACCGGTTACAAAACCCTGGCAAAGGAAGGCAATAAGGTTAATCTGGTATGACCTATTCTTGACAAAGCTATGCTGGCTCCTTGTGAACACTACTTTCTTTTTAAAAAGATATTCACCATCTACATATTTAATAATGATTGAATTCTACCTTTACTGGGAATTAAAATCAAGTTCATTGACGCAGCTGCTGTTTGCAGACATGACTTTCTTCCTTTCTTTGGAGAATCTAGACATTTGCTCTTTTCCCATCCTGTGGCTGAGTTTGGACAACACCTAGTAATCTGGTTTGACTGGAATGTACAAGTGCATGAAGGACAACAATGTGAATAAGACTGGATGAGTAGGCTGGCACCAAATGGTACAGGAGCATAAAGGCTAGATTGAGAAGAGTGTCCTTTATCCTAGAGGCAACAAAGAATCACTGAAGATACAACCAATAACAAGGACTGGACTTTGGCAAATGTATGAAATTTAAAAATAAAATGGTTTTAGTGTTTCTAGCCTCCTCTCTATGTGTCTCTTCCCCATCTCTAGGGCTTAGCACAGCACCTGGCACATAGTGGGGGTTTAGTAAATGTTTGAGGCAGCTGGGTGACTCAGTGGATAGAGTGCCTGGCCTAGAGTCAGGAAGACCTGAGTTCAAATCTGGCCTCAGACACTCACTAGCTATTTGACCCTGGGCAAGTCACTTAACTTGTGTTTGCCTGATTCACTGGAGAAGGAAATGGCAAACCACCTCAGGATCTTTGCCAAGAAAATCTCATAGGGGGTCACAAAGAGTGGAACTCGACTGAACAACAATAATAAATGCTAGTAGACTTGTTGAATTGACCTCACTTCAGATGCTTAGGAAGACTTGAATTCAATTCCATCCTCAGACACTTGCTATATGTGTGACCCTGGATAAGTCTGTCTTAGCCTTAGTTTCCTTACCTATAAAATGGAAACAATAATAGCACCTAATAGACTTTGTGAGGATCAAATAAGATACTATGTGTAGTAGTTCTTTGAAAAGCTGCTATAGAAATGTTAGCCACTGTCATCATCATCATCATCATCCTCCCCTCCCCCTCCTTCTCCTCAACAATCATCTCAATCTTCTGACCCAAAGTAATTCTTACTCCTTTTCTCTTATTTAATATTTTATTTTTCCCAATTACATGTAAAAATGATTTTAACATTTTTTTTTTCAAATTTTGAGTTCCAAATTCTCTCTCTCCTGCCCCTCCCTCCTCATTGGGAAAGCAAGCAATCTGACATAGGTTATACATGTGTAGTCATGCAAAACACATTTCCAGGTAAGGCATTCTGTGAAAGAAAACACAGACCAAAAGCCCCCAAGAAAAACAAAGAAAAAGGTATCTTTGATCTGCGTTCAGGCTCTACCGGTTCTTTCTCTGGAAATGGACAGTGCCTTTCATTGTAAGTCATACAGAACTATCTTGGATCATTGTGTTGCTGAGGATTGCTAAGTTTTTCGTAGTAGATCATCATACAATGTGGCTGTTACTTCATATAGTGTTCTCCTGGTTCTGCTCATTTCACTTTACGTCAGTTCATATAAGTCTTTCCATGTTTTTTTTTCTGAGAGCATCCTGCTCAGTGTTTCTTAAAGCACACTAGTATTCCATCACAATCACATACTAAGTAAATCTTACTCTTAAGAAAAGGTCTGCTAATTAAAAAAAAAAATTGGGGGCAGCTAGGTGGTACAGTGTATAGAGCTCCAGCCTTGGAGTCAGGAGGTCCTCAGTTCAAAAGTGGTCTCAGACACATAACACTTACTAGCTGTGTGACACTGGGCAATCCACTTAACCCCATTGCCTAATCAAAAAAAAAATAAAAGGTCTGATAATTGTCCTTTATAC